CATTGCATAAAAGGCCCTCATGACCTGGTCCTGTTGATTTCTTCCCCAGATTTCCCACTATTTCGTAAGTTGAGATTTTTGGTTTGGATTCTTTGTGTTTTCCTAAAATCAAAATAGGTTTTTGCCTTTTATGATTATACAGTGAATAAATGCTATTTGTGTGAAAGTTTAAGCAATACAGAAAAAAAAAAAAAAAAAAAAAAACCTAAGGAAGAAAGTCAGATTCATCTAAAAATCCTTGTGGCCAGAAGTAACTACCTTAGTTATTATTTTCTCTATCTCTCTCTCTCAATGTATATTTGGTGTGGGTATAGGGGTGTGTGTAGTGTGTATGTGTATATATCTGTTTCTATTCCTGTATGTGGATGTGCACAATGCATCCTGCTTTGTACACTAGAGTACTAGCATTTTTCTAATGTAATTCAATATTGTTGAAAACAATTAAAATGGCTTGTATATATATATATATACACACACACATACACATACATGCATGTATATACATATGCACATACAGACAAAAATGTATGTATATTCACACATGTGTACACACTCACACATACATAGAGTTTTACATCCATAGTCTATAAATGTTGCTTTTTTGTGGTCACATTTTTGCTAAGTCTTACACTTTTTTTTTTTTTTTTTTTTTTTTGAGACGGAGTTTTGCTCTCATTGCCCAGGCTTAATGCAGTAGTGCGATCTCACTTCACTGCAACCTCCACCTCCCAGGTTCAAGCAGTTCTCCTGCCTCAGCCTCCTGAGTAGCTGGTACTACAGGTGTGCGCCACCATGCCTGGCTAATTTTTGTAGTTTTTTAGAGAGACGAGGTTTCACCATGTTGGCCAGTGTCTCAAACTCCTGACCTCAAGTGATCTACCTGCCTCAGATTCCCAAAGTGCTGGGATTACAGATGTGAGCCACTGTGCCCGGCCAAGTCTTACACGTTTTTTTTTTTTTTTTTTTTTTTTTTTTTTTTACCACTAAACTGTTTACCCAAACCTAATAACCCAAGTCAACAGCTAGTATGGCTCATACAGTCTTATGTAAACAAAGATACAAATATATAGAATTTTCTTGATTAATATTCAGAAAAAAATGGAGTCCCTTTATATGTACTTAGTATCTGCTTTACTCATTTAAAAATGTATTACGTTATATAAAAGTATCCAGGTCAAATGTTATAGATGTGATTCATTCTTTTAACTGTGTTATTTTTCTGCAATGACTATGTATCACAATGTACCCAGTCTTCCACTGATGAAAATTTGGGCTATTTCCAGTTTGTCTTCCATTTTTCCTTCTTCCACTTGTATTTTCACTCAATGTGTTTATTAATTTAAGAAGAATCAATAGTTTTTATGGTATTACTTCTCCCATTCAAGAATATAGCATATGATATAGCATAGTAGAGTACTTAGTTCAATTTAGCCAGATCTTATTTTCTGCCCTTTAATAAAATTTTATTATTTTCTGCCTTTGAGTCACATTTTCCTTGTTCTTATAATTCCTGAAAAATGTATAGTTTTCATTCTTAAGGAACATTAAAAAAAAAACTACTTTGTATTTCTATTCCTGTCTAGTTAATTCTACTATTGGGAAAAGTAACTGTTAAAAAAAAATTCTCATCTTTCCAGTCAGTTCACCACATTTCCTTTATACCTTTGTACTTTAATCCCCAGTCATGTTGAACACTTCTTATTCCTCACACCAAGCCTCAATGGGTTTGCTCTTTCTGGAAGGTGCTTCCCCTATATTACCGACTTATTCATACCACGCATGAAGACTGGCACAGCCCTGTTCCACCTGAGTAGCTGAGTAATGCCAGCTACTCAGGAGACTGAAGTGAGAGGATCACTTGAAACCAGGAGGCAGAGATTGCAGTGAGCTGAGATCGTCCCACCACACTCCAGCCTAGGTGACAGTGAGACTCCATCTCGAAATAATAATAATAATAATAGTATGGAATTGAACTGCTCTGATTGGGAATAGCTGTTTTTAAAAAACTATTTTTTAAGTTCCTGGGTACATGTACAGGACGTGCAGGTTTGTTACACAGGTAAACGTGTGCCATGGTGATTTGCTGCACCTATCAATCCATCACCTAGGTATTAAGTACAGCATGTATTAACCCTTTTACCTAATGCTCTTCCCCACCCCCACCCCATCCTCCCCCAACAGGCCCCAGTGAGTGTTGTTCCCCGCCTTGTGTCCATGTGTTCTCATTGTTCAGTTCCCATTCCTAAGTGAGAACATGTGGTGTTTGGTTTTCGGTTCCTGCCTTAGCTGTTAATGTCAGGCCAGAGAGACTTAAATTTTTAAGGATCTCTGGACTTTTCTTCTCTGGACACTACTCTTGATGTTTATAAATGTTACAGATATAACTTCTTTAATTTCATTAAATGTATATACCTTATTGAGTTGATTTAACTGAGTTGACTTTGTTACATGAAAATCATGATTGGGAGTGAGGGGTTTAAACCAGCTACCGAGATCTTGATTGTTGGTGGTGACCCAGTGCAAGAATTCATTCATTCAGTAAACTAATGCTTATTAAGCGTACACTGTCTTAGTCTGTTCAGACTGCTATAACAAAATATCATAAACTGGGTGACTTATAAACAACAAAAAATTTATTTCTTACAGTTCTGGAGGTGGGAAGTCTAAGATTAGGCTCTGGCAAATTTAGTGTCTGGTGAGGACCTGCTTACTGGTTTACAGGTAGCCATCTTTTTGCTGAATCCTAACATGGCAGAAGGGTTGAATAAACTCCCTTGGGTTTCTTTTATAAGGACACTAATCCTCGTTATGAGGTTTCTGCCCTCATGGCATAACTACTGCCCAAAGGCCCCTCCTTCTAATATTATCTCTTTGTGGGTTAGGATTTCAACATGAGCTTTGAGAGGATACATACATTTCGATCATAGCACATACCATAGGACAGACACTGTGCCAAGAATTGTGGATATAGTGATTCTCAAAATGAACAAGATCCCTTTAGAGAGCTTGCAAAATCCAACTATAAAATTATGCTTTTTAAACAAATTATGCAGTTTGAAGAATCTACTCTGAATCTTACTTGTGGCATTGAACACTTTCGGCCACTCTTTCCTGATTATATTAAATATTTACTCCTGTTTGGGGGATCCAGTCTCAGTTACTTTTTCTACCGGAACTGGTACCAGCTCATGCTCTGCCTTGATGCAAATTAAGAAAATATCATACCTTTTGGGTAAATTAAGCCAAGAAAGTTCTCATTTCTTTTCTTTCTTTTCTTCTTCGTTCTTTTTTTTTCTTTTTTTTTTTTCTTTTTGACAGGGTCTTGCTCTGTTGCCTAGGCTGGAGTGCAGTGGTGCAATCTCAGCTCACTGCAGCCTTGACCTCTAGGGCTCAAGCAATCCTCCTGCCTCAGCCTCCTGAGTAGCTAGGACTATAGGCGCATGCCACAATATCAAGCTAATCTTTGCATTTCTTTGTGGAGACAGGCTCTCCCTATGTTGCTCAGGCTGGTCTTGAACTCCTGGGCTTATGTGATTCTCCTGCCTCAACCTCCCAAAGTACTGGGATTACAGGCATGAGCCACTGCCCCTGACCATTATGACTATTTTCATTGGCTTATCAGGCAAATGATAACTATAATAAATCAATCACCAGAATTTTTAATTAAAGAAAGGAAGGAATTGTTTCAACTCTTCCTGCTACCCTTCTGTCCCTCAAAAGGGTATGCTGAATGTTGTCCTCCAAAGACATCCATGTCCTAATCCCTGGAACCTGTAAATATATTACCTTATATGACAAAAGGGACTTTACATGTTTAATAAGTTAAGAATTTTGAGATGGGCAGATTTTCCTGAATTTTGAAGATGGGACCTAGTGTAATCACAAGAATCACAAGGGTCCTTATAAGAGAGAGGCAGATGAGTCAGAATAAGAGAAAAATACTTGAAGATGTCACACTGCTGGCTTTAAGGTGGAGGAAGGGCCAAGAGCTAAAAAATGCAGTGGTCACTACAAGCTGAAGAGAAAAAGAAATGGATTTTCCCCTAAAGCCTCTGGAGGGGGCACAACCTTGCCAATACCTTGAGTTTGGCTCACCGAACCCCATTTTGGACTTCTGACCTTTAGAACTGTAAATAAATAAATAAATGTGTGTTGTTTCAAGCCACCACAGTTGCGGTAATTTACTACAACAGCAATAAAATAGAATTAGATACAGAGATCTGAGGAGTTGAGTAGGATAAGCCTACTCCAGCAGGTTATGTGGGGAGTATGCTGAGACTCACTAAGATGGGGGAACTCAGTTAAGGAAGTTTGAAGTTGATAAAGCCAGAGAGGGAAGGCTCTCGCCTCATTTTATAAGGGTTGCGTCACACTAGGAAAATCCAATAGCAACCACGGTCTCAAAATTAATAATTACAAATAGGACTCAATTCCAAGAGTCAGGAGCCAAGCAGGAACTGGATTAGGAAAGACATGCATGATATGAAACAGGAAGGAGGGCTACAATGCAGCTTCCTGGGAAGTTGCCAGGGTAGTCACGGTTCACATTCATTAGGCTGTGGGCACCAAATGCGTATGGAAATCTAATTGACTTAACTGAACTCCTAAAGAGGAATGAACACCTCATTTATTGAAGAACTACTACCAATTAGCATATGTATTTCATTTGTTCAATAATCCCATGAGTAGAGTATCACAATCCTTGCTTTACTAAAGCGGAAGCGAATTCAAAGAGGTTCAGTGACTTGTCCAAACTCAGGGAAAACACTAGGAAGTGAATATGGGTCTGACTCCATCTCTGATTTCAGGAGCCCTGCCCTTTCTTCCACACCGTGCCCCCTTGCTTTCAGAAAAAAAGGCTTGTTGACTGAATGGTTGTATGCACAGTTCAAAGCAGAAACACGCAATGACATCTTTTGAGATATTCTAACAGTGAGAACTTGAAAATGAAGTTAAAAATTAAGCGGCAAAGCCAAACCGAGGCTTTCTGAGAAAGTGGGGCCAAACCTGGTGCTGTCTGACTGCCAGGTGGCTCATTATTTATCCCTGTAAAACCCTGCAAAAGTATTTGAAAGGGAAGAAGGGACAGAAAACTCCCTCCTTTTCCAAGTTAGCCTTATAGTCTAGGGCTTAAAATACTGGTTTAATGGTGAAGGTAAGTGCTTTTCTTCTTTATGGGTAGATGGATAATTACTAACTTACCAAAGGTCCATTAAGGGGAGGGAACAGTTTTAGGAGAAGTCAGAGAAAAGACATTAACAGCAACATAAGGATCTCCATCTGGTAATATTGCCTAATTCCAAAATGAAGAGACTTTCTGAAAAAGATAACTGATTCAATCAAGACCCTAGGGCAAGGCTTGAGAAGCCACTGGTACCAATGGACACTGTGGACAATGGTCATTTCTCCAAGGACGCTGTGAGTATTAACTGTGATGCTGTGATTAGTTGGACTGGGTTTGGCTGTGGATGAAATACTGACCATAACTGACAAGATTTGTGTTTGGGACTGTGGCTAATGAGTCTTTTCAGACTTCTATATGAATTTGAAATAGTCCCTCAGGAAAAAGAGAACATGGCCGGGTGCGGTGGCTCACGCCTGTAATCCCAGCACTTTGGGAGGTTGAGGCGGGCAGATCACTTGGGGTCAGGAGTTTGAGACCAGCCTGGCCAACACGGTGAAACCACGTCTCCACTGAAAATACAAAAATAAGCTGGGCGTAATGGCGCATGCACCTAGGCGTGTGCATAACACATGTGCCAGCTATTCAGGAGGCTGAGGCAGGAGAATTGCTTGAACCTGGGAGGTAGAGGTTGCAGTAGTTGAGATCATGCCACTGCACTTCAGCCTGGGTGACAGAGTAAGACTCTGTCTCAAAAAGATAATAATAATAAAAGGAAAGAGAACATATCAAAGATGAATAAGACTGAAGGCAAGAAAATTGTATGCTTGGAGGGATCACCTAGCTTGTTACCTTCATTGTACAGCTAAGAAAAGGCACCCAGGGACATTGTGGTCAGCACCAATTTCTCAGAAAGATAGGCCGTTGATGAGAGGGCGCTCAGTTTTTCTAACACTGAAGGAATTGCTTCTTCCTATGTTTTCTGGTGAACCCCTCCCCACTCATCTTGTGGATTCCAGGCTAGAAGAATCCACTTTTGAAAAGTAGCATTTAAAACCAATTTAACAACCAATCGAAGGCACTTTTATAGAAATATATTTCATTTGCTGTAGGCCTGTACTTAGGGATCTGAGAGGGCCAGACTACCAATATTGTAACTGTTTATTATTATTGCTGTTGCTAGTATCTAGAATAGTATACAACGTTTAACACTTTGCAATTTACGAGGCATGTCTCATAGCTTTGTTTTCACTCCAAACTGCCCAGTGAAGTAACATTATCCCAATTCTTCCCATAAAACAGTGAAAGTCCTGAGAGTTTATGAAACTTTACCTGGTTTACTCAATCTGGGAATGGCAGAGCAGAATTCAGTCCTTGAATACCCTCCCAACTGCAGGTTCATGCTCTTTGATCTAGGTGTAACATTTATTCTGAGTAAACTAGGACTCTGGGCTAACAGAGATGATGCAAGACAGGCTGGATATTAGGAGAATCTAAGAGCCATCTAACAACCATTATAATAAAATCATGAGTTCTAGACTTAAAAAAAGGGGAAAACCTGTTTTTTCACTTATGCGTATACCATAATATGTACATTATTGATTTTTTTCTCAAATTCAACCTATACTGTGTCAAGTAATTTTTTTAATATAACATTTTCTTTTAACTTAATTTCAATTCATTTTTCTGTGTCTACTTACAACTTTGGCACTAGAAATCACAATTATTTTTTTAGAGGTATAGCTCCTTAAAGGGTAGGGTTCTGACAGTGTTACATGTTCTCAATTGTTTGCAAATAGGCTAATAATTATTCCACTGTCTCTAACTACATATCAACCATGCCAGTGTTCAGGCTCCATAATTTTATTAGCTTCTGTGCTTATTCTGGAAAAATACTTCCCATTACTATGAAATACCTCAGTTTAGAATGGTTTGGCATGTTAGCCTGATTTCTGCATTTGTCTCATGCAAAGGAAAATAGGAAATGAAGAACTGAAATTACCTATTGATACAAAATCAAAGTAGCATTTGAAACCATAAAACTTAAGTGGGCTTTTCATCCTTTCTCATTAGACAGCAGCAGAGAATGGGAAGAAAAACTGAAGTGATGGGTTTGTGATACAATTCCAGTAACATAAAGAGCAAGGAGAAGTAGTTTTGTTGTGTTTATGTTTAATACTCAAAGCTCAACTTAAAGGGATTTTTCATCATCAAATTTCCTTCTAGAATAAATGATTGGAACTTGATTTAAAATGTACAAATTCTCCTGTATAATACCTCAAAATGGAGCTATCCTATTGAGTTTTAAGCTTGTGCTTAAAATATTATGAAAATAAAGGGGAAGTTGTATTAATAGGTAGAACAAACAGCAGTCTGGGCATTAGGGGATCTGGTGCTGGCTCTGTGCAACATGTGGTTTCAGGCAACTTTTTAAATTTTCTGTACACAAATTTTCTTATCAATAAAATGAACAGTTGGGCCAGAGGATCTCTGAGTCTCTTTCAGCTTTCAGTGTTTATACGATTGGAGAAGTTGGTGGGAAAGCTTTAAGTGGGGTGTAAGTAATTGCAGCTGCATGTACATTTAAAGAGTTGCCTTCAGCCAAGCCATGGGATCTTTCATAAAAAGTGAAATCAAATAGAAAACGATCCAAACTCTGGGTTTGACCACAGGTGACTTCAGCTAGGATCTGAGTGTAGAGCAATGAGCTGAACTCCTGATGTCCAGATGTTAGCAAGACTTGGAGGCTTTCTAAAGCAAAGCAACAACCAGTATCTATCCTGGTGCTGACCTGATCTTACTAGCAATTGGGTCTCCATTTGGGTCCATTGTACAAAACAATAACAACAACAACAACAACAACCCAAACACCCAAAATTCAAAATTTAGATGGAGAGACATTATTCTCAGAATTTTAGAGATACTTGGAAAGCAGAACACTATACTTGCCATGCTGATGAAGTCCAATTATTGTTCTTTTAAACTCATTTAGCTACTTCTGAATATAAAATGAGTATCTACTAATTATTTACAAAATCACTTGGTAAATATAGAAAATCACAAAGAATGAAGTGACCATCCTGTTTTGTAACCCAGAAATAGTCATCACCAGCACTTGTGTGAATCAGTTTCTATTCCTGTATGTGGACATGCATAGCGCACCCTGCTTTGTACACTAGAGTACTAGCATTTTTCTAATGTAATTCAATATTGTTGAAAACATTTTAAAATAGCTTCCATCACAATAATCTATCAAATTGACTTGCCAGACTCTCATTATTAGGTTAATTTATCTCTAACATTATGCGGTCATGAGTAATACTACAAAGGATATTTTTGGACAAAATTTTTCATCTATGCCTTTCCTTATAATCCTTCAGCCTAAGGTCACAGATTATGAATATCTTTAAAGGTATGGACAAGTCTTTTAAGTTTTGTGTGCAAAAGCAGTGCAAAGCCTTGAATGATAAAATATAGGTTTGATACATGTGTTTTTTGTTTGTTTGTTTTGAGACGGAGTCCTGCTCTGTCCCTCAGGCTGTAGTGCAGTGGCACGATCTTGGCTCACTGCAACCTTTGCCTCTTGGGTTCAAGAAATTATGCTGCCTCAGCCTCCTTAGTAGCTGGGACTGCAGGCATGTGCCACCACACCAGCTAATTTTAGTATTTTTAGTAGAGATGGGGTTTCACCATGTTGACCAGGCTGGTCTCGAACACCTCACCTCAAGTGATCCACCCACCTCAGTCTCCCAAAGTACTGGGATTACAGGTGTGAGCCACTGCACCCAGCCGATACATGTGTTTTTAAAGTCATAGAAGCTTCAGATGTCTTCAAGGATTTAAAAAAAATTAAAAAGTAAAGTCGTAGAAGCTTCAATTTAGGAATGAATGGAAAATTGACGATATTTTTAGGATATGGATTTTTCCTAAAATAAACAAAATGTATGTATCCCCAAAGATAGTTTGATTAGTGTTCAAATATGAAATTAAACATGTCCATATTTAGAGCCATGAATTCTCTTTGCCTGTCACAATAGCTGGATTTATTCACAATTATAGTAAGAAGTCCCTGTTCATTATAATTTTCTAGGTGACATGAAGACTGTCAGTCCAATCAAGTGTCCACATTGTGTGTAGCAAATATGAGAATAAACATTTTAAACCTTTAATTGTAATACATATTAGTGTTATGTAATGCCATCCTTCATGTTCGAAGGCGCATGGAACATTGTTCTGGTGGTACAGAGGGGAGAGAAACACCATCAGAATGAAAGGAAAGACCGTTCTGGAACCTTACTCCTTCGCTCTTGAGCTTAGTTTAATTGTCCTGTCTTATGGTCTGCTACAAGCAATACTACTCCTCACCTTTGCATGCTTCTGTGTGGTTTAATAAAGTACATGCAATTTTTCATTTAATTCTTCCAGCTGCACTCAGAAAGGAGCCTTATCTTCATTGAACAGATGAGGAAATGAATGATTAGAGAATTTAAATGACTAACTCTAGGTCACACAGCTGGAACTTATAGCCAGATTTCCTTTTAACAATCCTGTAACCAAAAGCATACCAGTGGTGCCCTATAAAATGTAAGTTATGGAGCTGTGTTGGGTCAAAACTTTTACTGATGCTAAGAGGAGGCAACATTAACAAGGGGAAATTATTTGTGTATTATGTTTTGGATTATGTTCTCTCCATAGATAAAACACTGTTGTAGTAAAAGAGATTCAGGGCACAGGGAAACTCCACCACAAAGCGTGGTACCATTTCCCACAGAAGCTAAATGGACGGGAAGCCTGCCACCAGGAAAGGTAAAGCCACTGCTCTTGTTTGCAGGCTATGTTAATAAGCTGAAGCTTATTCCAACCCATTTACACATCCCTGCATCACACTGCCCTTTGGTAAAGATACTCCCAGTGTAACATTGGAGCCAGCTCCAGCCCCAATCCTATTGCTTTTTCCTTAGACCCACGAAGTCATCTGTCAGAAATTAAGCCAAATAAGCAATACATCCTGGGATCTAGGGAGTGGAATAAGTTTTGGGAAAGTCTTTTTTTTTTTTCTTTTTTGGCAGAGTCTTGCTCTGCCTCCCAGGCTGGAGTGCAGTGGTGCGATCTCAGCTCACTGCAACCTCTGCCTCTCGGGTTCAAGTGATTCTCATGCCTCAGCCTCCTGAGTAGCTTGGACTACAGGCATGCACCACCATGCCCAGCTGAGTTTTTGTTTTTTAGTACAGACGGGGTTTCACCGTGTTAGCCAGGATGGTCTCGATCTCCTGACCTCGTGATCCACCCGCCTCGGCCTCCCAAAGTGCTGGGATTACAGGCATGAGCCACCACGCCTGGCCCAGGAAACTCATTTTAAACCAACCTACGTATGAATTCCTACTATAATATTCTCGCCAAACGGCTGGCTCTTTCTCCTGAGCTTGGAAACCTCCAGTAAAATGGAAATAATTATTTCCCAGACCACCACTCTTATCTGTGAGCTTTTTTGGCCATTAAAAATTATTTCTTCCATTATATTCTTATCTGTGTCTTCATAGGTTTTCTCTTCGTTTCGCATTAGTGTTTTCCTTCAAATAAGCAGGAAAAATCCAATCTATCATGCACATGGGAACCCTTTCAATATTGCTCTGTGGTTGTTCCACTTTATGGGGATGCTTTTAAAGAAAAAATTTGTCCTTTCAATACATTGAATATCTTCCAGCACCACATCACCTACAAGCTTTGTAAAAATAGTTCTACACATTAATTTTTTTTTTTTTTTTTTTGAGACTGAGTCTTGTTCTGTCACCCAGGCTGGAGTGCAGTGACATGATCTTGGCTCATTGCGACCTCTGCCTCCTGGGTTCAAGTGATTATCCTTACTCAGCCTCCAGAGTAGCTGGGATTACAGGCATGCACCACCATGCCCGGGTAATTTTTGTATTTTTAGTAGAGATGGGGTTTTACCATGTTGGCCAGGCTGGTCTCGAACTCCTGACCTCAAGTGATCCTCCTGCCTTAGCCTCCCAAAATGGTGGGACTACAGCACCCCACGCAATTTTTATTTTTTTAAGTTGAGCATATGTGAAGGCAGTGCCTAGTGACACATAGCAAAAACATTTCCAAGTAGACATTACACTAGGGAATTAGTCGAAGTGTTCTTTTAAAGTACTATCTCTCAAATGTATTAAAAGAGAATCCTTGGATGTGCAATACCTTAATTCAAAGGCAGCTCATTATGTATAAACTCTCAAGCTTTGTGATAAACAAATGTGCATAACAGATGGGACTATTGACTTACAGCCCAGAGAATTTTACTGATGCTGAGACGGTTATGTGACTGGCTCTGCCACTGTCATCCCCATTCACTTCGTTTTGGAGCAATATGACATAAATGCCTTACATTTGGGTTTTCTCTATTTATCATCTGCTTCCTACCCCCTTGAAAGATAGCCATATTTGCTTTACTTGGTTATAAGATCCCATATTCAATGTCTTGAAGCCAACCAAATCATTTGACAAAGTGGGTTTGTAGTGCTGGCTATTTTGGTGAAAATAAGACAATGAGATTTCATGACATCATCCAAAGTTCTATCAGATCTAGCTGTGGGAGAAAGGAAAAGAAGGGGGTCTCGGTCAGGATGCTCATTGCATACATGTGTGTTGTTCTCTAGGTCCAGATTTCTGTTCATTACGCTATGGGCTGGCTCTTATCATGCACTTCTCAAACTTCACCATGATAACTCAGCGTGTGAGTCTGAGCATTGCAATAATTGCCATGGTGAACACCACTCAGCAGCATGCTCTATCTAATGCCTCCACTGAGGGGCCTGTTGCAGACGCCCTCAATAACTCCAGCATATCCAACAAGGAATCTGATACAAAGGTAAGTATGACAGAAAATAGGGCTCTTTGTTGAGAGGAAAAAACTTTGAAAGGAAGGCATAGATCTTGATTCTGTGGAGTATAGAAGTATACATTTCCAATGACAAACTAAAACTGACTGGAACTATTTTTCTTTGAGACATTGATTACTTCTATAATAAAAATAAGATTTCATTGAGGTTATTATGATTATAAGGTGGGTGAACTGTAGGATTAAATGTGAAAAATTTAAAAATGGAACAGTTTATGTGATGTCTTCAATGAAAAACTAGGTATTACCTGGGCACATTCTTATAGGTTACTCAATCCTATCCAGTTCTCTGCCTGTTTTACTGTTTCTAAGCAATTTTATAACCCTGTAAATTCCATATAACAAATAGAAATGCAAATAATTCTTGTCCATAGCTTTGCAAATAAATTTTGCCAAGAGAAAAATCAGTTAAAACTTTTCTCCACTCACCTCCCAGTGGACATCAGCCAATTTTGCTGTTTGTTTGTTTATTTATTTTTTGAGATAGAGTCTTTCTCTGTCATTCAGGCTGGAGTGCAGTGGCGTGATTTCAGCTCACTGCAGCCTCCGCCTCCTGGGTTCAAGTGATTTTCCTGTCTCAGCCTCCTGAGTAACTGGGACTAAGGGGGCGTGCCACGACTGTTGGCTAATTTTTGTACTTTTAGTAGAGACAGGGTTTCACTAGGCTGATCTCGAACTCCTGACCTCAGGTGATCCACCCGCCTTGGCCTCCCAAAGTGTTGGGACTACAGATGTGAGCCACTGCACCGGACTCTGCTGTATATTTAAAGTATATTTCAGCATTGCTTCCTGCTTGTGTTATGCGTGATTCTTTGAGTTTTCCTTTGAACCAGTTATAACATCTTATTTACTCCCTCCATTAATCAATGAGTTAAATAAAATCTTCACTGTATGCTTATTTTACATTTATATGGAAACCATGAATTTACCCAATTAAAAAAATTATCCTTTAAATTATCTTGTACTGTACATTTCCAATGTCATCACTATAATTCATGATTAATGATTTTGTTACATTGGACCCAGCTTATTTACAATGAGTACATAAATTTATTGTCTCCAGTCTTTCCTCCATTATCCCATCTACATATCCACACTGAGTAGATTCACTATTCAGGTATCTTGGATACCTTCAAGTTGTCAAACATACAGTGTTCACTGGACATGCTGTGTTCCTCCGGAATTTGGACCTACTTCTCAGCACACTCACATCTGCTGTCAATGACCCATGGAAAGTTTTTGCTCTGAGCAAGCCAGAGTCCCTGTTAGTTTCTTCCAAATGCTACAAGTTCACTTTTGCAAATTTTTCCAATGAGATAAAATTTTCCTTTTTGACTTTCTATAAATCATAGTCATTTTTCAAGGGATAGTTCAAATATTGCTTCCTTTCTGGGACCTTCCTGAATTGTTCTTTTTCCTCTCAAAGTTGCTGTTTTATTTATATTCATCCTCAAATCTTGATTCTCACGTGATTCATATACCTTGTATTATTTATTGTTTTTTGAGTGGCTAAAATATTTTATATCATATTTTATATCCTTTGGCTCTCTATAGCATGATGCCAGATATTTAGGGGCCTTATTGAATTTATTTTTTATTTTATTTTAAAATCTATTTTATTTCTTTCTTTCTTTATTTTATTTATTTTAAAATCTATTTATTTTTAGGTAAATATTCAGGTAATATAACTTATATAATTATTCAGGCATTTTAGGTAGTTATTTTAAAATAATTCAAATTATTTATTGAGTTGTATCAGAAGAATGTGATCTTATTCATTTGTAATATGTGTTTTAGAAACTCAGTTCAGCCAGGGCAGACCATAATTCCCAAACTTGATTTTTCTTTTTAATTAGGTACTGATTTTGGTTAAGAGTTCAGTAAAGCTTTGTGTGTGTGTTTTAAAAATTCTTTGATATAAGAGTCAACATGTTACTCAACTTTTACTAGAAGCAAAATAGAGGAAGCACTTTCACAGATGAAATCTCTCTCATTGTTTTCTTCCATTTACTTCTTCCTATTATTCATCTATATAATCATTTTCTTTACCTCTTTTCTTCATTTTTTCTGTTTTTCTCTCCTTCTAAGAAAGCAAATTAGGGGTATAATTGGTTGTTTGGGAAGGTAGGAAGAATATAGAGAAAAACAAAAATAGATATTTTATAGTAGGGTCTCACCAACCTCAAGCAACTCTGACTGTAAAGTAGATTTTCATAATAGGACTTCTTGACAAAGAGTTTTCCTATTTTTCCCCAGGCCTCTGTGTATCAGTGGAGCCCAGAAACTCAGGGTATCATCTTTAGCTCCATCAACTATGGGATAATACTGACTCTGATCCCAAGTGGATATTTAGCAGGGATATTTGGAGCAAAAAACATGCTTGGTGCTGGTTTGCTGATCTCTTCCCTTCTCACCCTCTTTACACCATTGGCTGCTGACTTCGGAGTGATTTTGGTCATTGTGGTTCGGACAGTCCAGGGCATGGCCCAGGTATCCAGATACTTTCTCATTCTGGGTGGGATCCAGATTCCTGAATTCTACAAAATATCAAAGGTTAATGATTTTCATTTCAGGGAATGGCATGGACAGGTCAGTTTACTATTTGGGCAAAGTGGGCTCCTCCACTTGAACGAAGCAAGCTCACCACCATTGCAGGATCAGGTAAGTGTGCACACATGGGTCATAGCTTTGTCATCTGTTCCATCCTACTGTGTCTTATCATCTATGAATCAAATAGTTTAGGGAAGAGGGAGTAAAAGTACTACGGAAAAATTCAACAATACAAGACAGTTGCATCACAAATAAGAAAGATGCATCTGTACAGTAAACACATTGAGGCTTAGAAGTAGAAGAAACCACTGTGAGCTAGGATTCAGCTCAGAAAAGCCTTAGTAGTCAGAAAAGCCTTGTAGGAAAATGTTTAAACCTTTAAGAATTGCATAAATGGAAAAAAGATCAAGTAAACTATATATACACCATCTTAGCAATGATTTTGCAGTGAGAATTAAGGCTACCACAGCTCCAAGTGGTAAGGAGAGAAATGAGGCTAGAAGAGTTTGGAGTTTCTGTATTATTCTAAGCTCTTGACTATTCTATTGTGAGCTAATTAATTCTCACAACAACCCTCTCATGTAAGTACCATTTTAAATTCTTATTTTACAGAGAAGGGAGTTAAGGAAGGTGGAGATTAAGAAAATTGCCCAAATACAAATAGCCAGCAGGCGGTAGGTCTGAGATTTAAGCCCGCGCAAATTTTAGCCTTAGAGCAGACACCCTTAATCACTATGCTAGACTGCCTTTCCGTGGTATGTGATCCTACTAAGGCCTCTACAACTTTATCAGTGCTGTTCTTCCCAGCCCGTCATGCTGAGAGTATATACTCGAAGAGCAGAACTAAGATTCCATCAAGCTTCTCACTCCTAGGTCCACTACACAGCTGCATCCTGCAGACTTTTACCTCAAGTAACCCTCCTGCTTTCTTGCTTCCTTCCATCATAGTTGTCCCCACCTCCTCTATTTGCAAATACTATCTGCTGATCTCTCTCTCTTCTAGACTGGTTTCTTTCAACCTTCCTCCCACCAAAACCAAGTTATCTTGCTAAAGTAAAGATGAGGGCCGGGCGCTGTGGCTCAAGCCTGTAATCCCTGCACTTTGGGAGGCCGAGACGGGCGGATCACGAGGTCAGGAGATCGAGACCATCCTGGCTAACACGGTGAAACCCCGTCTCTACTAAAAAATACAAAAAACTAGCCAGGAGCGGTGGCGGGCGCCTGTAGTCCCAGCTACTCGGGAAGCTGAGGCAGGAGAATGGCGTAAACCTGGGAGGCGGAGCTTGCAGTGAGCTGAGATCTGGCCACTGCACTCCAGCCTGGGCGACAGAGCGAGACTCCGTCTCAAAAAAAAAAAAGAAAAAATAAAATAAAATAAAATAAAAAAAAAGTAAAGATGAGGCATTTTTCCTCACTTGCTTGATAATTTTCAATGTGTTCCTTCATGTTTACAGACTAAAGACTGACCTGTTTATTGCATGGATACAAAAGTTCTCAGCCATCTGGCCCCAACCTTATTCCACTCAACTCCCCTGTGCAAGCATGGCTCTAGTGGCACCGGACATTGGCTGCTCCCCACATAGATCCGCACTGCACTTCCCTCTGGCTCTGCTCCCATTAGTTTATATGCCTGGAAAGTTCTTTGCCCCTGCTCCTTGTGCCAAAATTCTATCTATCCTATTGTATAGCTTACGTAAAAACTTCCTAAATCTTATAATTATTGTCAATTATTATTATTACTTCCACGCACATTGTAGTTTTATTATCACACTTATATTTTACATCTTTTTTTTTTTCAAATTACAGGTTGGAACCCATTAGTGAGTCATAAAATGCATTGAGTGGGTTAAAATCATTATTTTAAAAAATGAATAGAATAGAATAGAATAGAATAGAATAGAATAGAATAGAATAGAAATTGTTGGAGTGCATTGGACATGGTAAAGTTAAATATTGATTCATGAAACCATTGAGGCATATGTGTGTGGTTGTGTGTACAAGTGTTTATGTATATTGGTGTGTGTGTTATGTTACCCTGTAAAATGCATTTCTTACTATGGGTCTCTGTGAATTATGTTTCTTGTTTTTTTTTTTTTTTTTTTTTTTTTTAATGTAGACTCCAAAGCCTACATAGCATTTCACTAGTGACAATCAATTTTATTCACATTTTTCTCTCCAATTGGACCAGAAGCTCTTTGAGGGCAGGGGCTGTGTCTTACTGAATTTTGTAAGTCTTTCATTTCCTGCCCCCAGCCTCATATTAGATCATACAAGAATGCAACTGTAATCACAAGAAAATACTAATGGGCTATGATAGCAGAGAGTTGCTGTGACAAACTAAGGGATTTAGATTTGGTCACATTGGTGTTGAGGAGTCATTGAAGAATCAGAGGGTTTGTTACTATTATTTATTAATTTTAATTATATCATATATATTACTTTATTGGGGAAAATCTGTGAGCAGAAATAATTACTCTCATTGCCCAATAATTCTAAGTCTGCCATCTCACTGTTGGGACAATGTTTAGAGAGGCCATGAAGTCTCAGCCTTTGCTATTTTCATAAGTGTTTTTCTCCCTCTTCCCTTTAGGATCAGCATTTGGATCCTTCATCATCCTCTGTGTGGGGGGACTAATCTCACAGGCCTTGGGCTGGCCTTTTATCTTCTACATCTTTGGTGAGTCACTTTCTCCTAAATCCTAATGCCTCCATTTCCTGAGCATCCGTTTTGGCACCTACATCACCCACATTCTTCCTATATGAAAGAAAATGTCCTTTATCAAATGGAAGATGATAACAAATGTCAACGGTTGGTATCATTTTTAATCTAGTCACACAACTTGATTAACACCTTCCTGGTGGTTCTGGGAAGCCACATGCACGGGATAGAGGAGTTGACTATTCACATGGCACTGACTTGTGATGCAGTCTTGTGCTTCCATATTAAGCATCTTCTGCAGAATCTCTACCACCACATCTAAAGTGCCTGTTACATGCAGTTAAGATGTCAAAGATAGTGAAGTACATCTTCAATGTGTCTTCATATTTTATTATAATTATTATTTTTGCCCAAGATGCCGTTCACCTATTCTCTACCAAGTTCATCTTGCAAAGCTCGATTCAACTGTGCCCTTCCCCATGGGCCCTTCCAGGGCTTACTCTATTAGATTCTGGCATTCTCTCATTTATCATATTTCCTCTCTAGGTTATGTTGGTGTGTAATTATTTATTTCTCCTTTTCTTTCCACTAAACTGTGAAATGCTTGAGGCAAGGAATCCATTCTATAATGTTTTCATCACTTGGGTATCATCATAGTGCCTGATTTTTAGCTTTAAAATAAAAGAATCAATGAATCCAGTAAATAGATGGAATTTAAAGAAAACTAGTCCTCAGAATCTTTTAACATAGAATGTTCCTCAAATAACAAATTCCAGTAATAAGACAATTTTCTACACTTGATTTTGTTGTTATAGCCAAATGGTATCATTAAATATAGTCCTGGCCTGAATGGCTTTCTCATTAATGGTGTTAATTATTTTGGTTTGTGCATGTTAACCAGGTATTGTACAGAAATATTTCTTTTGGGAATCCATAATGGATGTATGGCTTGAATACAAATAACACTGTCTCTTGTAAGTGCATTGGAAATTTTTTCCTGCCACATGATTTCATGGAAAGTTGTTTCGAGTATGTGTGACTGCAATCCTGACTATTCAGATCTTCCACAAGACAATTTATGTGTGCATTAAGAAGTTGCTGCTCACATAACACTATAATCATTGGAGCCTTTAAAGTAGTTAATCAGCTATACAATGCCGTGCTCATGTTATCTCCAGAGGGCTCTGACATTGACAAAAGGTGGCTTTCTATTTGAGACATAGTATCTTAAAAGCTTTAACAGGTTTGCAGAAGGATTGAAAGAAAGAATGGGAACATTTAGGTCCTTATGGTAGAATAAGCATTAATTGATTAGTGTGTAGAAGGGAGAGGCATGCCACTTCAGAGGAAACTCCCTTCCCCTAGTAAACAAATCTACCTAAAAACTAATTTTATACCTTCTTCCCAGGTAGCACTGGCTGTGTCTGCTGTCTCCTATGGTTCACAGTGATTTATGATGACCCCATGCATCACCCATGCATAAGTGTTAGGGAAAAGGAGCACATCGTGTCCTCACTGGCTCAACAGGTACAGTGCACACCTTGTACCTGTGGCCCATGCAGAGGTCTCTAGGGCAGGGTGTGGATCTCCTCCGAGAGGCACCATCTTGGCTGCTGTAATACTCATGCTGATTAGATATTTCTTTTTAGCCCAGTTCTCCTAGACGTGCTGTCCCCATAAAGGCGATGGTCACATGCCTACCACTTTGGGCCATTTTCCTGGGTTTTTTCAGCCATTTCTGGTTGTGCACCATCATCCTAACATACCTACCAACGTACATCAGTACTCTGCTCCATGTTAACATCAGAGATGTGAGTTTACTTCCTATACTTCTATGAAAATGATAATGGTAATAAGGAGAAACAGTTCTGTGTTACCTATTACATTCTGGCTTTACATATAACCATTAATTTAACCTTCACAATGACCTTGAGATAGGTGTTGTTATAATTCCCTTTTCACAGATGTGGAAACAGGACACTTAGAGGTGAGATAACTTGCCTCAGGTTGCACAATACTAAGTGGTATAGCTGCTGCAGCATCCGTATTCTTAACCACTATGCTATACTAACACACCAGCTGATTCCAAAGTTTCTTTTAGAAATTAATATTGTTGGGCTGGGCACAGTGGCTCATGCCTGCAATCCCAGCACCTTGGGAGGTTGAGGCAGATGGATTATGAGGTCAGGAGTTCAAGACCAGCCTAACCAATATGGTGAAACCCCATCTCTACTAAAAATACAAAAATTAGCCAGGCATGGTGGCAGGCGCCTGTAATCACAGCTATTCAGGAGGCTGAGACAGGAGAATCGCTTGAACCTGGTAGGTGGAGGTTGCAGTGAGCCAAGATCGTGCCACTGCACTTCAGCCTGGGCAACAAAGTGAAACTCCATCTCAAAAATAAAAAACAACCAAGAAATCAATATTGCTTTTCTCTGGAGCCCAGAGTGATGCAGCTTCTGGCCCTCTTATCTGAGACAGTGTTCATCTAGTGTAAAAAATGACACTAATTTTCCCCCAAACAACCCACAATATCATGGGAGTAAGTTAATGGCTGGTCTGTGTAACTGATAAATTTTGGTGCTAACATATCTCTGTAACTACTCTGTATAAATTTCCTTCCTTCAGAGTGGAGTTCTGTCCTCTCTGCCTTTTATTGCTGCTGCAAGCTGTACGATTCTAGGAGGTCAGCTGGCAGATTTCCTTTTGTCCAGGAATCTTCTCAGATTGATCACTGTGCGAAAGCTCTTCTCATCTCTTGGTAAGGATAAGCATGTGGGCTCATTTAACCAATTCCTTTTTTGCACATGGTCTCAGAGGGTTCCCTGACAGCATGTCCTCATTGCCCAGGGCTCTTCCTTCCATCAATATGTGCTGTGGCCCTGCCCTTTGTGGCATCCAGTTACGTGATAACCATTATTTTGCTGATACTTATTCCTGGGACCAGTAACCTATGTGACTCAGGGTTTATCATCAACACCTTAGATATCGCGCCCAGGTAAGAGCTCTACCTGTTTTTTCCCCTCCTCCAGACCCCTCCAGAGGTGTTAGACCTTAGCAGTCACCGTGAAACTCTTTAATGTTACTGACATGCACTAATGGCAGAGAGACAAATAACTACAAATGTTTGTCTATGGCCATTTTTAGAACAACAAATGTGGCATTTTTAGAACAACGACTTCCAGCCTTGGCCAGTAATCATTTTGATAAAAAGCTTCCCAAGGTTCCCTAACAGAGATTGAACTGTGTATGCTGGGAAAAGGCCCACACATGTGATTTAGAAAAGTTTCCATGGTGTTGTTCATATTAGCTACCACATATATATACAGTCATAGTAAGCCAGCTCCTGTGCCAAGACTTGCCATGTATCAACACATCTAATCCTCACAGTTACATTAGGTAGGTCCTATTGTTATCCCCATTTTATAAGGGAGAAGGCTGAGGCACAAGGAGGTTACATGGTGTGACTATGGTCACATAGAGGCAGAGCCAGGATTTGGACCCAGGGAGTTTGGCTTTGGAGTCTGTGTCCTGCCCGTTGCACAAACTGGCTTCTACACTGAGCTGCCAGGGTAAAGAAACTCAGTTCCCAAAGAGACTGCATTGCTCCCTGGTTATTGACTCAGTAGGTTGGTAATTTCAGGTTTGGCAAATAGACATTGCCCTGAATGTCTTTAGGTGAATGAAAAACTGCATTAAGCAAAATGACTTTGCCATAAGAGCTGAACTGTGTTAAAGTTGAGTTGCTGCAGAAGCTGTAGGTGGCTTTCTATATAAAATCATTTATAAAATCATCTTCCCACAGATATGCAAGTTTCCTCATGGGAATCTCAAGAGGATTTGGGCTCATCGCAGGAATCATCTCTTCCACTGCCACTGGATTCCTCATCAGTCAGGTTGGGCCAGTTTATTGAACATCTTCAAGTGGCAGGTATTGTTTTAGGTGTTGTAGATACACACAGTGCTCACAAGGTCTGGATGGCAACACAATTACTCTATTTACATGAGCCTCTAAATCAGACTCTGATAGGTCAGATTTCCCAGGGAAAGAAAAATATAAGCTTATTTTCTCAAGATGAATAGACATGAGATTGATTAAAATGAGCTGTTCTGGTGCAGAAGATAGCATGTATGGCTTCCTAGAGGTACATGAGCATGAAACAATTCTTAGTTATGAATAGAATGAATGACACATGTCAAGGAATAGCAAGAGATGAAAACAGAGGGGCATAAGAAGATCATGAAGAATATGTTCAGACTAATTCCAATTTTTAAAAAATCACAAAAGGGAAACAAAGTATCCCAAGGCCTGTTTAAAGACAATTTAATGGCTGAAAAGAGATTGGCTGTGAGACATTGCAAGGAGGATTTCTCAGTGTTTGGAAATGCAGGCTCATGAGGAAGACGAAAAGACAGACCCAGTCAGGGATGGAAGGACTGACGAGAACCAACTTACAAAGAGAAGTTTTATTTTTACTGTATTTCTATGTGATCAAGTTGCCAGGCTAATATTTGACTAAACTGCTAGGAATCCACTGTGACTATAATGCTGGAAATTACTTAGTAGGGCTTTCTGAGGAGGGTCACACAGAAGACCAAATAGAACTTGTGTTGAATTGGGATGGGTTGTAGTGATAGATGTCAACAGCCAAAACCAAACCAAACCAAACCAAGCCAAAATAAAAAAACAGAGAAGACACAAACACGATGCCATGGTGCCATTTTAGGCATAATTTTAAATCAGTAATATTATACATTGAAATCCAAATTTTCAGAAAAACATTAGTGTATTTTATTTTTATTTAAAGAAATAACCATCTCAACTCAGAACCCGATGTGCATTTTGGCCATTTTGTTTCCAATAGTTTCATAAACTTTCTTAAGTAGCTACTGCACATTGTTCATTATATTCCTTGTGATCAACATTGCAATACACAACTTGGAGGGCTTCTAGAACTGGTGTAGAAGGAGCTTGTGAGATTGATCATTTTTCTGTGTTTTTTACCTCTAGGATTTTGAGTCTGGTTGGAGGAATGTCTTTTTCCTGTCTGCTGCAGTCAACATGTTTGGCCTGGTCTTTTACGTCACATTTGGGCAAGCAGAACTTCAAGACTGGGCCAAAGAGAGGACCCTCACCCGCCTCTGAGGACATAAAGTTACAAACTTAAATGCAGTACTGAGCATGAACTTTTTAAACATTTTTTACTTATCTTCATATTCTTGACCATAGACTCAGCAGTTCTTAACTCTCGCTGTGTGTTAGTCTTCCCTGGGGAGCCTTTATAAGATACTGATGCCTGGGACTCACTCCAGAGATTCTGAATGAATTGGTCTGGGGTGGAACCCAGATACCACTAATTTTTAGATACTCCTTAGAGGTTTCTACATGTACCTGGGGTTGACAACAGCTGGACAAACTTGAAAATCCATGTGGCCTTTGAATTTTCCTCATTGGAAAGTACTAAATAAATAAAAATTCATGTGAAAATGATCACTGATAAATATCTTCATAGTGGGGCAAGTTATTGGATACAGAGAAGAGCTGCTCAGAATTGTAACCATATGTTACAGATCTCAGCACCCATCAGAACTGTAAAGCTATAATCCCCAGAATTAAAGTTTTTATTATTTTTTATACATTGTAAAACATGGACGTTTATTTATGTGGTTAAATTCTATTAAAATTTACATGCTAAAATAAAATAGACCATTTTCAAATTATTTAGATTCAGATATTTCCATTAGATTAAGCAGATATTTATCCTAGCCCAATTGCAAGAGATTAATGATGAGAAAACGATCAAGAAAAGATTAGATAAATGAGGTTAACTTATAAATCAAGGACAGAGAGGATAGAATTGGAAAGCTTGTATTGTGAGAAGAATGGATGTAAAGGAAGACAATGTAGATACTTCCAGAAGGGATAGCAATATAGTTTAGACCATATGATGAAAATTGGAGGGAGATGACAGAGACACTTTCAAGTGAAATGACAATTTATATGGGGGAGAAAAATATTGAAGATATAACAAGATGAGAAAAGGCATAGAAATGTATCACGTACAAGGCATAGAAATGTATCACATACAAGAGAAGTTCTTTTTGAGGGTAGAAAAAGATAATTTAACCTTCTTCATATTTTTCTTACTTTCCCAAGATGCTCAGGCAGCATCAACTCTAACAGGAGATAATTTGGCTCCTAACACTTAAAACATATCCTTTAGGTTGTCTCCTCACACAGAGCTGAATCTGGTTTTGCCACATGTCTAGAGAGGAGGTTCTCACCATATTTTAAATCCTATTTAAAAACTGCTAGGACAAGAACCTTGGGCTAATTCAGCAGATGAAGAGAATCTCCTAATGCAAATCAACGTGTATTTTTGAGCAGGTTTTTCAGAAAAACAGTGTCAGGCCCTGAGAATGATACTAAGATGAGAACATTGATTTTTGCCTTCATGGTATTGACAATATAAAGAGAAAGGGGGGTTTTCAGAAAGCTAAAAGAAGAAGTAGAAGCAAAAAGAAAGACAGAGTATAATAGATAGTCAATTTATGTAGAGAAAAAAGAGAAAAAAAGACCAAAGAAGGGTGAGGGGCAGACAACCCAACTAAAAAATGGGCCAATGACTTGAACAGGGACTTCGTAAAAGAGAAAATGCAAGTGGCTCCTTAATATATAAAAAGATGTTCAACTTCATTAGTCATTACAGAAATGAAAATCAAAACTACAATGAAATACCACTATAAAATTAACATAATGGATAAAATGAAAGACGATAGAAGACAAAATGTTGCCAAGCGTGTGGAGCAACTGGAACTTTCATATGCTACGAATGTGAACTTTGGAAAGCTGCTCAGCAATATCTCCTAAAGTTAAATGTACAATTCCAGTGACTCAGACGTTTTACTTAGAAATGCACATATACATCCATAAAACTGCACAACAATGTTCATAGGAGCACTATCTGTAATAGCCCAAACAGGAAGTTGTCTGTTAAGAGAAGAATGAGTAAATAAACCACGGTCTATTTATATAGCAATAAGAATTAACAGACCCTAATACATAATAGACGAATGGGTCTCATAAACACGATATTGATTGAAGGAAGACAAAAGGTACATTCTTTTAAAGGTTTATAAAATAGCTTTTAAAAACAGCTACAACCAAACTGTCCAGTTAAAAATCAGTGAGTGATTTCCCTTGGGCGAGGATGGGGGTCGTGGCTGGATGGATGGTACTTAAGAAGTGCTCCTGGAGTACTAGAAATATTTTATTTCTTGACTTGGAGGTGTGTTTACTTGGTGAATATTGTACATTTATGATTTGTGCACTTTTATATATGTAGAAAATAAAACAGAAAGCAAATTCAAAGTATCATCCTTTTGAGAGCTTCTGCTCTGTTTGACTTCATTTTGACCTGTGGAGCAGTTGGGAAGGGGTCTTGGTCCTCTGCTTTTTTTTTTTTTTTTTTTTTTTCAGACGGAGTCTTGCTCTGTTGCCCATGCTGGAGTGCAGTGGCTCAATCTTGGCTCACTGCAAGCTTCGCCTCCCAGGTTCACGCCATTCTCCTGCCTCAGTCTCCCAAGTAGCTGCAACTATAGGCGCACGCCGCCACCCCGGCTAATTTTTTGTATTTTTTAGTAGAGACGGGATTTCACCGTGTTAGCCAGGATGGTCTCGATCTCCTGACCTACTGATCCGCCTGCCTCGGCCTCCCAAAGTGCTGGGATTACAGGCGTAAGCCACCGCGTCCGGCCCCTGGTCCTCTGTTTTCATGTTCTTCTTGGTCCTCTTCCACCTCCTCTTTTCTTGGAACTTCCAGTATCAGAGCAGGAAGGAAGGCAATGGGATAATTGATGCTGTCAGCTTTTGGATCAAACTGCAAGTTCTCAAACAGCAAAATTAATAAGCTCAGGCTTCGAAGAAACCATGACCCTGAAAGCATCAGTTGCTTCCAATTGCATCAGTTGCCACGGGTGGTAAGAACAATGATGACTCATCATGCCTAGGTATTCCCAGCAGGTTCTCTGACTGATTCCTGACAGATGACTTTGGTGTGTCAGACTTTCAGGGTATTCTTTCCTCATGCGATGGTTTGAGGAAGAGTTACCACTCACATTCCTAATGGCTTCAGAATAGATGCAATTGTGAACTGGTAGGAAACATTTCTAACTCATCTCCCCTCCCCATCCCTAAAGGATTGTTTCTAACATTAATAGTCATGAAAATTAATTCACTTTTCTCAAATAACTTATTGTCATCTATCTAATGATGAGATGACCTGCTTTTTCTCCTTGACTGTTAAATATTGTGAATTATATTAATGTATTTCTTAATGTTGAGCTTTCCCTTGAATATTCTTTTGATGTACAACAGAATTTGATTCACTAATAGTTTATTTAGGACTTTGGCTGATGTACTGATGATATATGAGATTGGCTCTGTACGCACACATGTATTTTGTGTATCTTTTTTGTGTCTGGATATGCACCTTATGCTGATTTCAAAAATTAGAAAGGAAAACTTTCCTTTTTCCTCATTACTCTGAAAAAGATTGACTAGAATGGAATTTTTATAATTGCTATTGTTATTTGAAAGCTTGAAAGCATTGGTTTGTAAAAATTATGCAGGCTGAAAGCCATTTTGAGGAGACTTCTTTGATAACTTTCTCAATTCCCTCAGTTATTGGTCTTTTAAGGGGTTCTGTGTTTTTCTTTGATCAATTTTGACCATTTATGTTATCTTGGAGGATCATCTATTTTACACACTATTTACAGTATATTTGCAAAATTTTCAACTGTTTTATCAGACTAACTTTTTAATAATATATTCATTTTATCTATATCTGAGGTTTTAGCTGCTTTGTACTTCTGACCCAATTGCATGTGTGCTTTCTTTCTCCTTCATTAGACTACTTAGTCATTTACTAATTTTAAGAATAGCTTGTCTTTTATTTATTTATTTATTTATTTATTTATTTATTTATTTTTGAGACAGAGTCTTGCTCTGTCACCCAGGCTGGAGTGCAGTGGCTTGATCTCGGCTCACTGCAACCTCCGCCTCCCGGATTGAAGTGATTCTCCTGCCTCAGACTCCCGAGTAGCTGGGATTACAGTCATGTACCACCATGCCTGGCTAAGTTTTGTATTTTTAGTAGAGACGGGGTTTCGCCATGTTGGCCAGGCTGGTCTCAAACTCCTGACCTCAGATGATCCACCTGCCTTCGCCCGATCTCAGCTCACTGCAAGCTCCGCCTCCCTGGTTTATGCCATTCTCCTGCCTCAGCCTCCTGAGTAGCTGGGACTACAGGCGCCCGCCACCACGCCCGGCTAGTTTTTTGTATTTTTTTAGTAGAGACGGGGTTTCACCGTGTTAGCCAAGATGGTCTCGATCTCCTGACCTCATGATCCGCCCATCTCGGCCTCACAAAGTGCTGGGATTACAAGCTTGAGCCACCTCTCCTGGCCGTCTTTTTATTTTATAATCTATTAGCTTTATCTTTTATCAAGCTTGTGTCCTATTTCCCTTTGCTTTACTTCATATAAATTTTGTTTTGGATACTTACTTTATTTATTTTTCATTCATTTGTATTTAATTATGAAACAGGTTAAAGCTTAGTGGAAAATTTCTCCTCTAAGTCCACTTTTGTGGGCAGATTACATTTTGCTGTGTTGTGCTCCCAAATTCATTGTTCTTTTAATGCTTTATTTCTCAAGTTAATAACCTATATAGTAAAAAAAGCAGCTGTTGACTCTCAGCTTTTTTTTTTTTTTTTTGTAGATACAGGGATCTTGCTGTGTTGTTCAGGTTAGTCTGAAACTCCTGGCTTCAAGGGATCCTCCTGCCTTGGCCTCTCAAAATGCTGGGATGACAGACATGAGCCACCATGCCCAGCCATGTCTCTCTCCTTACATATAATAAGAAAACAGATACACTGAGGCAACCTGTCACCTCACTCTTGGTTTCATTACCGTTCTCTGGAAATTTTGCTCTGACGTTTTGCAGTTAATGTATTAATTTTGCATTGAGTAGTTTCCATACAAGAGTTATAGCGTTTGCATTCTATTGGGTATTATACTTGCCACTGTTATTTGAACATAATTTGAGGACTGAAACCAAGGTGAGGCAAGTGAAGTGCCCAGGGAGCAATATTTAAGGAGGCATCCTTTTTCAGGCTCATGAAGAATAGAATTAGCACATGAGAGTGAGTGCCTCCTTAATTTTGAGTACTGGACACTTCTTGCTCATTTAGCGTAGCCCTGGACAATGAAGTGTTTTTTGTTTTGTTTTTTTCATGTCCATCCTTTATCCTTCCTCATCTCAAAACATTTCAATGGAGTATTTTTTGGAGCAGTACTTGGATGAGACTCTGAGTCCCAGAATAGCGAAGAATTTCTTTCTTAGTACTCTACATGATCACTGTGGAGCCTTAATACATTGTAATATTAACTTAGCTGGCAACAGAAATTTTGTTTTGCAATTTGTCTTATTCAGAACAGTATTGACTTCCTGCTAGTCTCTTCTGATGTCTAATATGAGGAAGTCTAGTTGGTCAGCTAATTTTTGTAGGAGAGCCATGTTTAGGCTAGGTGCTATAGGATTCTCTTTACCCTGGAATTTCTTCACCAAGATGTCCCAAGGTGTTAATCATTTTCCCTTGCTTTTTGGCTGGTGGTCTTACAGTTTCCTTCGATTTTATTTT